CGTTGCGTGAGACAAAAAGACACCAGACAGAAATAGAAAAGGGGGACCTTTTCCTTACCCGGCTTGTTTTCTGCACGGGCTACATCGTGATGGCAAATGATATATTTTTTAAAAAATAGCAGCTACTGTCAGGCTTTTTACTCTCTTTTTCTTTCTTACTTTCTTTTTTCTCTTTTTTTTTACTAAAAACAAAATGTTTTGTGCAAGTCCAGCCGGAGGCTCGAGGACGGAGAGAACGAGGGACAGAGAAGGAGAAACGAACAACAGCATCGAGTTTATCGAAGGCCAGACTTGTGAGGCGAATTGGCTTCTCTGTGTGTGTGTGTTTTAAAAGAGAACACATTCAAAAAGGTTTCCTCAAACCCTACGGCGTTTGGAGGTGCTGGTGAAGCGAGTCAAAACGGAATTAGCCCTTAGGATTTGGCACCGTGTTGTTCGGAGGCGCCAACGTTTCCCCCCCCCCGAAGACACCTCTTCCCAAGCTCCAGAAAAAGTGTGCTACGAAAACTGTGACTTGGACGAGGAGAAACCAGGAAGGCCCGGGGGGGGCGTGAGGGTGAAGACCGCGTGGACAGGAAAGAAGGGAAAACACGTTGAGTGGTTAAAACACCGACATCCAGAGACGGGGAGACCAAAAAAAATTGTAAACTCGAAAGAAAGGTGGCTTCTTCACCAAACTCGGTGACTTCTCCCAGACCCCGGGATGGTGGCAGCAACAGGGGGGGGAGAGATCGGGAGCGCCCCCCCGGCCGCGTCTTCCCCACCTCGCCGAAGGCCGTGCCCCTCCCGGCACCCGAGTCCCTCCGAGGCGTCTCCGGCCGGCGGCTCACACCGAGGTCTCCGACTGCAGCCGCATCACGAACTTGTGCGATTTCGGGTCCACAAATTCTTCCGACAGCTTGAAAAAGGGGATCTTCTTGGTGCTCACCACCAGGCTGAAGTCGTGGCGCTTCAGGACGAAGACCACCCCGTCCTTCAGGCCGTTGGTCACCGGCTCCTCGCTCACCAGCGTCCACTGTTTGGCCAGCCAGCGGTCCTTGTGGTACTGGATGGTGGGGCCGGCCGTCAGGTAGCGCTCCAGGAAGGCCTGCCGGGGACGGAGAAGAAACCGAAAAGCCCTCTTAAAATGGAATAAAAGCCTTTCCCCCTTGGACCGGCCCTCTTGCTTCCACCC